CTGGCCTTGAAGAATATAATGACGCAGGTATAAGTTAAGGAATGTTGGCAGCCACCAGCAACTGGAAGAGGAAAGAATGGATACTCCCTTACAGCAGCCAGAGGGAGCAGTTTGATTTCAGCTCAGTGATGCAGATTTTGTGTTTCTAGCCCCTAAAAGTATCAGAGAATAAACTGCTATTCTTTTAAGTAACCAAATATGTAGTAATTGTTGCTGCAGCCATAGGAAATTAAAATACAGATCTAAGTGTATTTTTTGTAATTTTTAATTGTTTACTACTCTATGTCTACTCAGGCAAAAAGTGGCTAATGTGCTCCAGAGGAAGACTGGTTAAAATTAAGATTCAGTACTTTAAAAGAATTAATTAGCTATCAGGTAAACCAGGTTATATTGAAAAGAGTACGTAGAACATATGAAGTGCTAAACAATAGTACGAAGAACATATGAAGTGCTAAACAAATATTTTTAAAATAAATGCTGGACTTGGTAACAAAACAGAGACACCAAGTGAATGAACTTACTCTAAATCGTTTCTTAAGGAAAATCCAAGCCCAGCCACTTTGTTAACAAAACTAAATGGTTAACAATAACATTTATATAGGGAAGATAAGGACTTGATCAAAGATACAAAGTAATTCCTTCACTGCAAATTTTAGGAAATATCAATTTCTTTGATATTTCATTTTTTAAATTTTTTACTTTAAGAGGCAGACAGAGACAGAGCTCTCAACCGCAGATTCACTCTACAAACGGCCAAGCAAAAGCTGGGAACACAATCCAGGTTTACCACAAGGCTGGCAGGAACCCAAAAATGTACCTTTTAGTGAAAATAATTAAATTGAAATTTAATAGAACATATACAATGAGCTTGCTTCTTTTTTTAAGTTTTTTTTTTTTTTTTAAAGATTTGCTTGTTTATTTGAAAGGCAGAGTTATAGAGAGTGAGTGAGGAAGAGAGAGAGGTCTTCCATCTGCTGGTTCACTCCCAAATGACTGCAACGGCCAGAGCTGTGCCAATCTGAACTCAGGAGCCAGGAGCTTCTTCCAGGTCTCCCACGTGGGTGCAGGGGCCCAAGGACTTAGGCCATCTTCTACTGCTTTCCCAGGCCGTAATAGAGAGCCGGATCGAAAGTGGACCAGCTGGGACTTGAACCAGTGTGCATATGGGATGCCGGCACTGCGGCGGCGGCTTTACCTGCTGTGCCACAGCATCAGCCCCTAAGGTTTCCTTTAAAAAAAAAAAAAAGAAAACAAAACAAAACAAAAACCACCATCCTTTCTAAATATGAAATTTTAACTATATCCAGGTATACTAGTCTTAGAAGTTTATATATACTGAGGCCGGCACTGTGGCACAGTGGGTTAACGCCCTGGCCTGAAGCGCCAGCATCCCATATGGGCACTGGTTCTAGTCCCAGCTGTTCCAGTTCTGATCCAGCTCTCTGCTATGGCCTGGGAAAGCAGTGGAAGATGGCCCAAGTCCTTGGGCCCTGGCACCCATGTGGGAGACCCAGAAGAAGCTCCTGGCTCCTGGGTTCAGATCAGCGCAGCTCTGGCTCTTGCAGGCAATTGGGGAGTGAACCATCAGATGGAAGACCTCTCTCTCTCTCTCTCTGTGTAACTCTGACTTTCAAATAAATAAATAAATCTTTTTAAAAAAAAGTTTATATATACAATGATCTTATACTATGTAAAATATGAATTACACTAATAATCATCCTTATTCAAACAAGTCTTACGTCACTGTCTCCCATCTGTTGGGGACAGGCTTCAGACTGTCTATTCTAATTTAACCTCCATATAGCATAAGTCTCAACAAAGTGTAGGTCTGACCACATTTCTTTCCTTTTCGTAAAGTTTAGCTGATTCCATGGGGCTGGCATTTGAGCACAGGGGGTTAAGTTACCACCTGCAACACAGGCATTCCATGTGGGTACCAGTTGTCCTGGCTGCTCCACTTCCCACACAGCTCCCTGCTTCCCTGGAAAGGCAAGAGAAAATGACTGAAGTACTTGGGCCCTTGTCACTAACGTGGGAGACCCAGATGGAATTCCAGGCTCCTGGGTAGGGCCTGGCCCAGCCCCAGTGGTTGAGGGAAGATTCCCCTCTCTCTCTCTCTTGCCTGTCTCTCCCTCTTTCTCTAACTCTGCCTTTCAAATAAATAAAATGAATCTTTAAAAAAAGGTTTAGCTGATTCCTTACCAAATGCAGATACAGTCTAAACTTTTTTTTTTTAACAGTTATCTATTTCAAAGGCAGAGTGACATAGAGAAAGGGAAGGATAGACAGAGGGAGATCATCAATCTGCTGATTCATGTCTAGGGTACTGTTCACTTAGGACCCAGCTTCCTGCTAATACTCCTGGGAGGCAGCAAATGATGGCACAAGTTCTTGGGTTCCTGCCTCCTAAGCAGAGTATCTGGTTGGAATTTCTGGCTCCTGGGTTTGGCCTGGCCTAGTCCTGGTAGTTGTGGGCATCTGCGGAGTGAACCAGCAAACAAGGACTCTGGGTCCATCTGTGACTCTGTCTCTCAAATAAAAACAAATAAAAACATAAACTGAGGTACATATAACATGTCAGAGCTCAGATATAAACCAAGATTTCTCTCAGTTGAAACTCATGGTCTTCTCAGTAAAGCCTGTATTTAAGCATACCTAACTACTTAGAGGGTCAGTCCATATAGATTATGAGAAGATACCTCTGAACTCAGACTGAGTTCACATCCTGTCTCCACCACTTAATAACTATAGACAAGTACTTGATCTCTCAAGTGGTAATAATAGTACATATCTCGTAGGATGATTAAAGAACATAAATCAAAGAAAGTGGTTATTAATCTACAACGACTTATTCTTTGAATACCTTTACAAAACCTATTCATGACAGAAAAACGCTACTAGAAATATTTGGAATTGGACTTATAACACATAAGAATTTGGAAAAAATTTCCTATTCAACTTCTATTGAAAAAGCTAGGCACAGTAGGAATACAGTCATATAAGGATACTTTATTTGTGGAAGGAACTTGTTTTAGCATTTTATCTGATATGACCTAAAAGTTTCAGCTTTCTTTTAGCCTAGCATGCTTTTTCTTCTTTAAGATTTATTTTATTTTTTTAAAAGGCAAAGAGACAGAGAGAGATTTTTCCTTTAGCTGGTTCACTCCCCAAATAGACCCACCAGCCAGGGCTAAGCCAGGCTGAAGCCAGGAGTCAGGAACTCCAACCAAGTCTTCCAGGCCAGTGGCAGGGCTCCAAGTACTTGGGCCATCTTCCACTGCTTTCCCCAGCAAATTTGGAGGGAGCTGAATTGGAAGTGATGCAGTGTGGACTCAAATAGGCACTATGGTATGGGATGCCAGTATCGTAGGTGGTGGCTTAACCCACTGAGTCAGTCCCTGTAGCCTAACTTTTCAATCAAAATGCTTGTCTCTAAATAAATAATACAGTAATTTATCTTAAACAGGTTCTTGGATCTCCTTTCAGATGGTATATCCAATATGGATGATAAACCAATAAGAATTCTGGGCAAGCAATCTGGATAGAAAAACAAATAATATTGGAGCTGGCATAGTGGATTAAGCCTCCGCCTATGATGATGGCATCCCATATGAGTGCCGGTTCAAGTCCTGGCTGCTCTACTTCCGATCCAGTTCCATGTTAATGTGCCTGGGAAAGCAGCGGAGGATGGCCCAAGTGCTTGGGTCCTTGTATCCATGTGTGAGACCTGGAAGAAGCTCCTGGCTCCTAGCTTTGGTCTGGCTCAGCACCAGCCATTGTGGCCATTTGGGGAGTGAACCAGCATACAGAAGACCTCTCTCTTTCTCTCCCTCTTTAATTCTGACTTTCAAATAAATAAACCAATCTTAAAAAAAAAAAAAAGAAAAATAACATTCATCTAGCTTCTAAAGTCATTCCCATATTTTTATATTCCATTCTCAAATTTATATAACAAAATGCATTTTAAAAACCATGATTAAAATTAGAATATAAGCCAGCGCTGTGGCTCACTTGACTAATCCTCCACCTGCGGCGCTGGCACCCCGGGTTCTAGTCCCGGTTGGGGCGCTGGGTACTAGTCCTGGTTGCTCCTCTTCCAGTCCAGCTCTCTGCTGTGGCCCAGGAGGGCAGTGGAGGATGGCCCAAGTCCTTGGGTCCCTGCACCTGCATGGGAGACCAGGAGGAAGCTCCGGGCTCCTGGCTTTGGATCAGCACAGTGCCTGCCGTGGCGGCCATTAGGGGAGTGAACCAAGGGAAGGAAGACCCTTCTTTCTGTCTCTCTCTCTACTGTCTAACTCTGCCTGTCTAAAAATAAAAAAAAATAAAAAAATTAGAATATAGCTGTAGTACTATACTCCTTCATGAATGGTGACATTTACTTAGCATCTATTCTTTGAAGACTGAAATCTAATTTTATGCTGCCAGTTCATATTGATTTGAACTTTAATAATAAATCACAGCAGTTGGCCAGCGCTGCAGCTCACGAGGCTAATCCTCCGCCTGTGGCGCCGGCTCCCCGGGTTCTAGTCCCAGTTGGGGCGCCAGATTCTGTCCCGGTTGCTCCTCTTCCAGTCCAGCTCTCTGCTGCAGCCCGGGAAGGCAGTGGAGGATGGCCCAAGTGCTTGGGCCCTGCACCCGCATGGCAGACCAGGAGGAAGCACCTGGCTCCTGGCTTCAGATCGATGCAGCGCACCAGCCATAGTGGCCAACTGGGGGGTCAACCAACAGAAGGAAGACCTTTCTCTATGTCTCTCTCTCTCACTAACTCTGCCTGTCAAAAATAAAAATAAAAATAAAAATAAATAAATCACAGCAGTGAATGACATTATTAACTAGTTAGTTTGATGTTCAGGCTTGAAATGTTGCCCAGATGGGTCTACAATTTACTCTTACATTTCTGGCAATTTCACCAAAAAAGAATTCCACAATTGACCAACATCAAATAGAAACTTCTTTCTCTAAGATTTTCAGGAAAGGGTTAAAAAGTTCAAAAGTCATACTTCACAGGTACTGATTAAGACTGGGCTTCCGGAAGGTCCGATAGGGGGCGCCGCATTGGAACGTCCAAAGAGGTCGTGCTCCGGGATGCCATCGCAGTCGGCTACCAGAATGTGAAGACCCCAAGCCACCCGGGTGAGCAGGCCAAGAGTGGAAACCTCCTCCGTGCAGCAGCGGTGTGGCCAGATGTTGGAGGAGCCGACTCACTCCAGAGGTAGCCAGATGGCCTGGCCACAGGGACCTGAGGGACCTGCAGGGCATAAGAACCCTAGTGTGAAGGGGCCTGCACTGTGACGCAGTGGGTTAACGCCCTGGCCTGAAGCGCTGGCATCCTTTATGGGCGCAGGTTCGAGACCCGGCTGCTCCACTTCCGATCCAGCTCCCTGCTATGGCCTGGGAAAGCAGTGGAAGATGGCCCAAGTCCTTGGACCTCTGCACCCACGTGGGAGACCGGGAAGAAGCTCCTGGCTTCAGATTGTCACAGCTCCAGCTGTTGCGGCCGTCTGGGGAGTGAACCAGCGGATGGAAGACCTCTCTCTCTCTCTCTCTCTGCCTGCCTCTCCTTCTCTTTCTGTGTAACTCTTGACTTTCAAATAAATGAATAAACCTTAAAAAAAGAAAAAAAAAAAAAAAGACTGGGCTTCCAACTGAAAGATTATTTCCCTTCATTCTATTTATCTAGTTATTCATTCAATCTATTCAGTTCCTACTAAGATACATGTTTGTGGATACAAAGTGTCTATTCAAATATTACTGAGGCAGCCTAAGGAGTGTATGTAGGGCTTGTCTGGTTTTCAACATTTTTATCTACAAAATGGAGGTGAAAATAACTGTCCCATCTCAAAGACTTAATTCTAGAAATAAATGAGGTAGTAAGACATGGAAAAGTACTTTCAAATATAAGACTATCAATAAAAATCTGAAAAAAGATGACACCATAACAGTTATCCTTATCTCCAGGAGCACTGTAAGTGACTTTATTTCATTACATGATTTTTAAAAAATTTATCATTTAATAAAATTCAATTTAAATTTAATGAAATTATCATTTAATAAAATTAAAATTTATCATGTAATAATCATTACATGATTTTTAAAAAATGTATGCATTTCATAATACATTTCATAATACATAATGCATTTCATAAATACAACTTTAGAAACATAATAATTCTTCCCACCATACCTGCCCTCCCACCCACTCTCCTACCTCTCCTCTTCCCTCTCCTGTTTCCAGTCTTTTTTTTTACTAAGATCTACATTCATTTAGCTTTATATACATAAGATTAACTCTATTTTAGGTAAAGAGTTCAACACTTTCATTACATGATTTTTTTAAAAAATGTATCTATTTGAAAGAGTTACAGAGAGGGAGCAGGGGGGAGAGGTGAGGAGGGGAGAGATCTTCCATTAGCTGGTTCACTCCCCAAATAACCTCATTGACCAAGGCTAGGCCAGGCCAATGTCAGGATCCAGGAGTTTCTTCTGGGTCTCCCACATGGGTGACAGAGTGCCAAGCACTTGGGCCATCCTCTGCTGCTTTTCACAGGCTATGAGCAGAGAGCTGAATTGTAAGTGGAGCAGCCAGGACACGAACCAGCACCCATATGGGTTGCTGGCATTGCAAACAGTGGCTTTACTCACTATGCCACAACACCAGCCCACAGATGATGTATTGTAACAAATATTTCTTCAGAAGTATATTGTTATATGATTAGAAAGGCCGTCCAAAAAATAAATAAATATAATAAAGACAAAAAAAAAGGCCTTCCTTGTAGGAGAAAAGGATATAAGCAAAGATCAAGGCAGGTAGGCATATAGCATGTTCAGAAAGATTATAATTCAAATTATTCATTTGGCTAAAAAAATAGGATATATAGGGTAAAATAATAACAATAAGGAATGAAAAGGCCATATGATTTTACTGGAGTCATACAAACACTCAAATTTTGAAGGACTTTTGATGCCTCCTTAAATAGTTTTAAATATATTCTTGAGTCAACAGAGTCACCATGAGAGGATGACCACCAAAGAATGGTATAAAACCTTCAGCTTTCACAAGTAGGAAGTGGGTGGGGGGTCATGCACAGGCATTGTGTCACAGTGGGTTAAGTTGCTGCCTGCAATGCTGGCATCCCATATCAGAACACTGGTTCAAGTCCCAGCAGCTTCACTTCTGACTCAGCTACCTACTAATGCTCCTGGGAAAGCAGCAGAAGAGGGTCCAAGTATTTAGAACCCTGCCATCCACATGGGAGACCCTGATGGAGTTCCAAGCCCCTGGCTCTTGCCTGGCCCAGCCCAGCCACTGAAGCCATTAAGACAGTGACTCAGTGAATGAAAGATTTTCCCTCTCTCTGTCTCTCTGCCTTTGAAATAAAACAAGTAAATGCTTTGTTTTGTTTAAAAGAAAAAAAAAAAGTAGTAGTAGTACAGGAAAGGGGATTTGACCTGGAGGTTAAGATATCTCTTGGGTGGTCTTCATCCCATAATCAAAATGTCTGGGCCCAATATCCTCCACTTTTTTTTTTTTTTTTAAGATTTATTTATTTATTTGAAAGGCAGAGTTACAGAGAAAGAGAGGTCTTCCATCCACTGGTTCACTCCCCAAATGGCCACAACGGCCAGAGCTCAGTCAATCCGAAGCCAGGAGCCAGGAGCTCCTTCCCGGTCCCCCCGCAGGTGCAGGGGCCCAAGGACTTGAGCCATCTTCTACTGCTTTCCGGCAATCATTAGCAGAGAGCCGGAAAAGAAGTGGAGCAAACTCAAACCGCGCCTGCATGGGATGTAGGCACTGCAGGCAGTGGCTTTACCCACTACACCACAGTGCTGCCCTCTCCCCACTCCACTCTGGATTCCTCATGTGGATCCTGGGAAGCAGTAGGTGATGCCCCCACCCGCCACCCACGTGGAAGACCAGGACTCATTTACTGACTGTGGTCTTTAGCCTGGCCCAACCCTGGCTGTTGAGGGCATTTGGGAAGTGAACCAGCAGATGCTAGCATTCTGGCTCACTCATGCTCTCTCTCATAATTAAATAAAAACTGAATGAATGCATAAATAAATTGTAATTTAAAAAATAGTATGGGGGGGTGACTAGAAGTGGGACAAGCTGAGGGTAGCAAGTTCAGTTTGGAGGCTACTGCTATAGTCCAAATAAGAGGAAAGAAGAGCCTATTTAGCACAAAGGTCCTGAGGATGAAAAAGGAAAAGAACAGAATCTGAGATGCTGAAGTAGAACCAACACCTGGGAGGAAAGTTAGGATCCCAAATACCAATTTGGAAATCACCCCCGGGATTCAAGAAAACAACCTGAGTTTACCACAGTAAGAGCACCAAATTGGAAACTATGAAATTTCATCTGTAACTACCAGTTGAAATGTTGGCTTTCAAAGAATAAAAAAAAAGACTTAACTCTCATTCCATTTTCAAACACTGACGTTAAGAGAACATAATACAACACTTCAACTTCTACTACAAAGTCACGAAAGGACATCGACATTATTCTTTAACTCGTGTGCACCAACCTTCCTGAAGGTGGAGGTGAAACCCTCCCTCTTCACTCCCCCCCCCATCGCTACCCCCACACCTGTCCTGCCGGGAATCTCACGCGGCCTCAAACAGCCCTCGTTTTCCTAACAGCCTCACCAAGGGCATCCTTTCCATTTCTTGAAGTCCCTGCTTCTTGAGCGCGGGGTCCTCCTCGGGTGGATCCGTCCACACCACCGGGTTACACACCCCCCGGGAGCTGCAGCAGGGATCGACCCCAGCCTGCAGCCCGGCCGCTGGGCTCGGCGCGCCCCGGGCTCTGAGGCACACACAGCCGTTTTCATTCGCTTGACACACCCCTCTCCTCAAGACCTGTTTCCTCCTCCACCCAGCACATTCCGCACGTCGTCCGATGGGGATACAAGGCGTCACTTCATCGGCTCCCTCCCCAGTTTAGCCAGGACTTCAGATCGCCCACCCAGACCGCTTCACCCAGACTGACTTCTCATCAAGCCCGGCCCCCACCCAGCACGCCGCCCCCCGCTGCCGCCAGGAGCTGCCGGCGCCGCCCCGCAGCCGCCGGCCTCCGGGCGTCCGGCCCTAGCCAGAAGCACTCATCGCTCACCTCCCGCGCAGCTCCTCCGGCTGCGCGCACTGGGGGCTGCGGCTCAGCAACGCCGGGCGACCCAGGCTGCCGAGTCGGCCGGGTCCGCCGCGACCGCTGACCCGCAGCGCCGCCAGCTCCCGCTGCCGTCGCTGTTGCCAGCTTGGTGCAGCCCTGGCGTTTCCGGGTTCCCGCGGTCCCGTCCTCCAAATGCTCCGGCTTCCGCCTCGGCCCGGGCAAACGGCGTTCCCGGCTCGGCTGTGGCGGCCCCAGCTTCGCTCTTGCCAGCTCCGACCCTTAAGGCGACGGCTCCTGTCCCGGTCCGCTAGCGGCCCCCGGTGCCGGCTTCACCGCCGCGAGACCGCTGGAGGCACTGCTTCCTGTGGACTCTCCCGCGAGGGGACAAGGCAGACAGAGTGACTCTCGCCACGGGCTTCTGCGGGACTGTCCCGCCGCCGAGGGTGCTTTTGTGACCAGTTGCTAAAGAAAGGACAAAGTCCTTTAGGGCAAAGGACCCTGAGAGTGAGTGGGGAGGCGGATCCCCAAGCAAATGAACACGCTCCTAAAATTGGCAGTGATCTGAAAGCAACTAAGATTCGCTGTGGCACACGCTGCGAACCAGTAATCTGGAAATGACCGCTGCTCCCACCCTGAAACCCAAAGCGGTGCCACCAGTGAGCCTAGTGCCATTAACCAAGAAAAAAAAAAAAGAGCAGACAGATCTGGAGTCAGAGGCTCCCAGAGTTAAAAGGGACTGACCCCTCTCTGGTTGACCCCTTTCACAACATTTATTTATTTTTATTTACTTATTTTGTATTTATTTATAAGGGGAGAAGGGGGGAAGGGGAGAGATAGAAAAGAGAGATCTTCAATCTGATGGTTCATTCCCTAATTGTGGGCAACAGCTGGGGCTGGGCTAGGCAGAAGCCAGGAGCCCAGAATTCAGTCCAGGTCTCCAAAGTGGGTGGCAGGGACCCAAGTATTTGAGCCATCACCTGCTGTCTCCCAGGGTGTGCATTAGCAGGAAGTTAGAATTGGGAGTGGAGCCAGGATTCCAGCCTAGGCACTCTGACCTGGAATGCAGGTGATCCAAGCCACATCTTCACTAGGCCAAATACCTGCCCCAACATTACTTTTTCTCTTCAACATTACTTTTTGAAGACTTTCCAATATCTTTATTGAGAATTCTCCAGCCGCTGCATACCAATCTGGTGATGGACTGACTGAAATTAATATTCTAATTCTAGTTTGATTTTCAAATAGTAGAACAGGATAATGTCTTTCCTGTTAACACATTGCTGCTATAAATTAATCCCATGGTCTATTGGTATTGCAAATGATTAAAACTGTGGAGCTGGCACTGTGGCGTAGTGGGTAAAGCTGCTGCCTGCAGCACCGGCATCCCATATGGGCGCTGATTTGAGTCCCGGCAGCTCCACTTCTGATCTGGCTCTCTGCTGTGGCCTGGGAAAGCAGTAGAAGATGGCCCCGGTCCTTGGGCCCCTGCACCCACATGGGAGACCTGGAAGAAGCTCCTGGCTCCTGGCTTCAGATTGGCTCAGCTCCAGCAGTTGCTGCCGTTTGGGGAGTGGACCAGAGGATGGAAGAGTCTCTCTCTCTCTCTGCCTCTCTGCCCTTCAAATAAATAAATGAATCTTTAAAAGAAAATGATCAAAACTGTATCCAAGACAGACCAAAAAAAAAAAAAAAAAAGGAAAGAAAATTAAATACCATGTTAGAATGGAATTACTGGGTTTAAATTTTTCTGTAATATGTTGAGAAAACTCATGGGTGGTAAAATATGTATTGGAACTTAATACTTATCCAGTTGTATTTTTTTAATTTATTTATTCAAAAGAGTCTTGGAGTGGGTAGGGGAGGGGCAAGACATGAGAGGGAGAGATCCTGCGAGTGCTGGTTTACTCCATAGATGGCTGCAAGAGCTGGGCCAGGCCAACGCCAGGAGCCAGAAACTTTATCTCCCATGTAGGTGGCAGGGGCCCAAACACTTGGGCTGATTTCTGCTACTTTTCCCAGGTCATTAGCTGGAGTGGAAGAGGAGCAGCCAGGACAGGATCTGGCATGCATATGGAATATCAGTGTCACAGATGGCCACTTAACCTATGCCAGAGTGTTGGCCCTGTACAATTGTTTTTGAAACTAAAATGTGCCTGGTATGTGATAACAGCTAAGTACTTTTCTAAGATCCTTGTGTGTGTGTGTGCGTGTGTGTGTGTGTGTGTGTGTGTGTGTGTGATACTTATAATAGATACTTATTTAGAAAATGTGATACTTATAATAGATACTTATTTAGAAAATAGTAGTGCTTGTATATACTTGTGGGTATAAGTGGGTATATCTTAAAAATGCATCAGTCAGAAAAATACACCTTATAAATACATTGCTTTTTTAAAAAATTACTTATTTATTTGAAAGAATTACATAGAGAGAGGAAGTTACAAACAGAGAGAGAGAGAGAGAGAGAGAGAGCGCTCCATCTACTGGTTCTCTAACCAGATAGATGCAATGGCTGGGGCTAGGCCAGGCCAAAGCCAGGAGCTAGGAGTTTCATACAGGTCTCCCACATGGGTGGCAGGGGCCCAAGTACTTAGGCCATCCTCTGCTGCCTTTCCCAGGCCACCAGTGGGAAGCTGGATAGGAAATGGGGCAGCCAGAACACAAACAGGCACCCACATTGGATGCTGGCATCTCAGGCAGCAGCTTTACCCACTACTCCACAACGTTGGTCCCTAAAAGTACATTCTTTAGAAAAAAGAAAGACCTTTCAGTTTGTTCAGAAAGCTTTAAAATAGTGAGTAATGGAAGCCCTTATAATTGTGAAACAGTAACATATACTTTGTCACCTTGGGTAGGCCTGAAACAAAGAATGACCAAAAATCTGTGTAAACAAAAGCAATAATGAAAATAGAGCACCGAATGTATGAGCCCTACAAATGATGAAGTGATGTAAAAGCATGATCCCCGAAGATGATGAGCAAAAGATTTTCATTAGCCTTTTATAAATAACGAGTTGTTCTGAGTTTTCCTATGCACACCATGTACAGTACCTATTCCCATTCCTTTCCTCATGCCATCCACGAAGTGCAGAATACTTTTCCTTACATTTGTTATCGGTGGCCCTATCTGACTCCTAGGTCTCTGTTTGAATAGCATCATTCCATACTTAAAAGCATTTTTCTGCCCCCTTCCTGCTAGGAGTCTGAACCTCTTCTTTGTGGTCTCCTAGCATCCCAAGGCATCCCGTGTATATATACATAATTTTTCTTCATTGTATTCTGATTCTGGTTTCTTTGATCTTCACACAGTACTTTCTCTAAAGTTAATGCTATCCTATTTATGTTTTTATCTCTCACAACTAGCATAGTTCCTAGTGCATAGAAATTCTCTCTACATATATATATATAATATTCATTATTATTGTTTATTTGTTTATTCAAAAGGCAGAGCCAGAGAGAGAGAGAGATTGAAATATTCCGTCCATTGTTTCACTCCCCAAATGGCCACAACAGCTGGGGGTAGGCCAGGCTGAAGCCAGGAGCAAGGTACTCCATCCAGGAATCCCACATTGGTGGCAGGGGCCCAAGTACCTGGGCCATCATTTACTGCCTACCACGTTGTGTATTAGCAGGAAAACTTCTGGGAAGCAGAGGTGGATGCAAACCCAGGCACCCTGACAAGGTGAGGATGTCCCAACTGGAAGCCTAATTCATTGAGCCACAACACTCACTTCTATATTTATTTTTTAACTTTTTTGAGATTTATGTATTTATTTGAGAGGCAGAGTTACAGACAGAGAAAGATGTCTTCCATTCACTGGTTCACTCCCCAAATGGCTGCAATGGCCAGAGTTGGGTCGATTTGAAGCCAGGAGCTTCCTCCAGGGCTCCCAGACGGATCCAGGGGCCCAAGCACTTGAACCACCTTCTACTGCTTTCCAAGGCCATTAGCAGAGAGCTGTATCAGAAGAGGAGCAGCTGGGACACAAACCGGCATCCCATGTGGGGAGAGGTCTAACCCTCTACGCCACAGCGTGGGCCCCTATATCTGTTTCTTCAATTAAGCTGAACTGTTGGCAATGAATGAGGTCCAATAATGCAGACACTACAGAGCTCATCAGTGAAAGAGTGTCAGCTGAGTCTGAACTGCAACTCTGAGCATCCAGCATCCCAAGTTAGTATCCAAGGCATGGAGCTCTTTGGATAATAACAGTCCCACTACCCTTGAGCGGTTAGCCTACGTGATGACCTTTAACGGTCATACCAGTACATAGAGTAAGGATTAGTACCTGTATTTCACAGAAAGAGAAACCGGCTTTCAGACATTAAGGAAATTACCTAAGTTCTAATTTTGACAGAAGGATAAGCTGGAGTTGAAGTTCTTGTCAACCTTTAAAACTCATACTTTAAAACGCTACACTTAGCTGCCGTGGGATTCAAAAAGTGAGACAGAAGAAGGAGCACAGGACAGAGAAAATGTGGCGGATAGCAAAAACAGCAGCAGGGGTAAGAAGTATCAGTGAAGAACGGGGATGACGTGTGTGAAGGAAGGGGACAGAAGAGCAATTTGGAACACTGGCCAAGAAGATTAGCTTTGTTTTCTTCACCCAGCATTTTTTTTAAGATTTATTTTTTATTTATTTTGAAAGAGAGAATGAGAGTGAGAGAAGAGAGAGCCAGAGAGACTGAGAGAGAGTGACTCTTCCATTTGCTGGTTCACTCCTCAAATGCCCACAATAGACTTAGCTGGGCCAAGCCAAAGCCAGAAGCCCAGAGCTTCTTCTAGGACTCCCATTTGGGTGCTGGGCCCAAGCACTTGGGCCATTCCACTGCTTTCCTAGGCACATTAGTAGGGAGCTGGATCAGAAGTGGAGCAACCTGGTCTGGAACTGGCAACCCTAAGGGATGCTGATGTAGCAGGCCAACATCTGGCACAGCCAGCCCTACCATAATATTTTAAAGGCAACATTTTGGGGCCAGTGCTGTGGTATAATGGGTTAAAGGCCAGGCCTGTGGTGCCGGCATCCCATATGTACGGTGGTTCGAATCCCGGCTGCTCCACTTCCAATCCAGCTCTCTGCTATGGCCTGGGAAAGCAGTAGAAGATGGCCCAAGTCCCTGGGTCCCTGCACCCAAATGGGAGACCCAGAAGAGGTTCCTGGATCCTGTCTTCGGATCAGCCTAGCTCTACACATTGCAGTCATTTTGGGGAGTGAACCAGTGGATGGAAAACCTCTGTCTCTCTGACTCTGCCTCTCTCTGTAGCTCTGTCTTTAAAAAACAACATTTTGGTACTTTACAGACAGCCAAATGAGAATAAAATATCAGCCTAAAGGCAGCAGAGCCGAACTATGTGTCTCAGTGGTGTCTGATTAGGGTTGTCAGATAAAATGTAGGTTGCCTGATTGCATCTGAATTTCAGATAAACAATGAATAATTGTCTAGTATGCAATATTTGAGATAA